CTTTCTTTTCTTCTGTATCTGATTGTGTAATAGTTACGGGCATCGCCAGTGGTATTACCCTAAACCTTTTCAATTTCTAACTATCGAGGGATCTCTTTTAAAGTTATACTACCTCCTTGGATGAAAAAAAAAATGAAATTTTTAAACTTGGTCAGGATGAAACTTTGTTGATCAGTGGACTTTCTTGTTGTCGAAACTATACGACAGAATCCCTCGATAATCTAATAAATCCATAAAAAAAAATCCATACACTTCTTGACTTGAGACTTTAAATGCAAAATCCATTCTAAGAGGTAGTATTCCTTAAATGGATTCCCTGTAATCTTTACCTCGCCGATAAGACCAGTATGTGCCTTCCCAAATACTCCACCATGTAAAGTTGATGGAGATTGTTGTCAAGGAGAAATATGCTGTCCTGGAGTATGTTTTAACAGATGTGTCAAATCATCATTGCCCAATACTAACAAGCCTGGTATTATACTTTGATTATCATACACTTCGCACCAAATGTGGTTTGTCAGAAAATGCGTCTTTCTGTAGTTGCAGTCGATTTCAACAATAATTCATTGTCCATCTTGAATTAGGTGCAGAAATCTAACCCATTTGGTTTTACCATTGAAATCTGCATGAAAACCTAACGTACTAACAAATTTTATGACAAGAAAAACAAACTCATCCCGTGGTATGGAAAATCTTTCCATTCATCTTATTTTTCCTAAATAGGTGTATGCCCAAAGTTACCTAATCCACTACCACGATGTTTAATATTCCAAAATGATTGTAAGCAAGATAGCGAGTGTCCTGGTGATCAGAAATGTTGCAGTGTCACATGTGGAATTGGGTGTATTGACCCTGTAAAACGTAAGTACAATCATAACAATACTGACCTATCCATGTATGTACTCTTATTGACCACGCTTAAGACTTTAGATTTTATGTATCTTTCAAAGGGACAGTTACACCATTTCTTTGACCAATCATGCCTTAGTCTGAGATTTTTTTAGAAACTTAACCAATCAGTAATAGTGTTCACAGCTCACCTTCGAAATTTGAGCCTTCAAATCTTTGCTTTTCCAGAATTATTATTTGAAAGTTAAAAAGAAGAGTCGTCTTTTCTTGAGACACTGTCATATATTATAGAAAATACATCTATAGAAATAAGAAAAGAAATTCCTAGTTTGAGATATTTTGAAGGAATTATGTGATTTTCGTGCATTTCTAGTACTTCTGAGACTGTTTATATATATCAAAGACGCAAATCAACCCCCCAAAATGGTGCATTTAAATTGCACAGCCTTAAGCCAACGGAT